CTAGCATTTAACTTTATACTTAGTTAATGATGACCCAAATAAGCAGAGCAGACTTAGCCTTCTGGTTTCACCACCTGTTGACATCCTGACTTGCCAAGTATAATTTGCTATCTGCTGTATGTAACCTACACATAATAAAAACAACATTATGCGTCATAGTACTTTATGAGAAAATATGTAACAGCATATGAGCATATACTGAATTTAATCAAATATCCTTTTTAGAAATTCAATACATGGTAAGAGTGTGTCATTAAAACACAAGAGTATGAAATAGTCGGGTCACTAATTCTCTCACTTAGAATGCAATGACACTGTACAACGACGGCGGCCGAACTTTGCCGAGCGGTGTCGGAAATGGAGCGGGGGAGTGGTACAGTCACTAGACCGTGACTATACTAGTTTAACGACACGGCGGCACTCAGCAATATTCAAGCTATAAGAAGGTGGTCTGTTAATTATCGAGTATAGACGGAGGTTTATAAGGAATTAATATGGCTAGTAGGAGATTATCTGATGGCAATCATAATTCTGCCCAATTAATACATTGTCTCCAACATCAAAGGTTTCCATGTTGTTTGTAAACACCTGCTCACGTGCACCGGATGTGTTTTTGTTTTGATTGACCTTCATAACGCCATCGATCATGCCGTCCTCAAAAGCCACAAATCTACCTTGGGCATATTTAGGCTTTGTGTTCGTCGTCTGCTTCGCCTTGTTGGTGTTGGTGTTCAAATGACGAAACGTTTGTCACAGGGGATTTTTGATAATCTACCTTGATCACAGTCAAATTCAAATTCAGTACTATAACCTGTAATATTGATTTGTCAACAAGGAAATCACTATTGCACACCCGATGTGATCAATAAAAACATTGTTTCCAACATCAAAGGTATCCATGTTGTTTGTAAACACCTGCTCACGTGCACCGGCGAAAAAAGTCCTACTTCCGTTTATCTAATTTGCGCACTTATGTCATTAGGGTATGACATACATGTTTTTATGTTAAAAACTTATGTCGTGGAAAAATGCTATAGTTAAATGATAAAACATGATAAGTTTGTTTAATGAATCACTTCCATGATTTGGTATTGGCTGAAGTGAGATTAAATAATATCATTTGCAGTCTTCATAAACTTAACTTTAACTGCTGATTTAACAGCAGATAAAGTTAAAAGCAGGACATTTCATATAAACATGTATTCAAATGAGATTGTACAGGTTCCTAGTGTTGTTTCCCTAGAACAGATTGACCTAGGATTCGAGGGACACTGACTCCATGTAGATAAAACCCCACTGTTTTATTGTAAGTACCTTGTTGAATGTATTTTAGTAGAGGAACCTTCTTCGTCATCATTCCAGTCTTTCAGTTTATAAACAGGAATATGGTCATGACAGCAACATATAGAAACACTTCACCTGGCCTCTTTTGTTGGTTTGTCAATTATATCTTTTGTGATTGGTATGCGTCCGTGATCACCAAATTTGAATTTTAACTGAGTTCCCGATCTATGTTGAACAAGTGTGTAACTCCGTTCCTTTTATATATGGTTAGGTAAGGACTCTATGACATTTGCTTTTCTTGAACACCTGATTTCCTTGAAGGGCTAAGTTAAAACTGAGAAGGGTGAACATCTATGATTTTGTCAAATACTTTCACTTGCTTCCCTTTCTTTCTGTCCTGACGGCGTTGTCATTTTCAATATATATTTTTCATGTCTATGTTAAGTTCTGGGTGCAAAAGAAATGTGCACACCCAAATGTGTGTGGGATGCTTTTTTAAATAAATCATCAAGGCTGCTGATGAAACCACATTTGTCAATTTGAAAATGTGCTTAGAGCGGTGCATGGACTTCTTAAATATCTACTTCTGACTTTGCACTTTGTTTGTGATGAGTCCCACCAGTGGGACAGTAAATGCTTAACCTTTTCGCGAACACATGTTGTCATCACCAATAAATTGTGGATTCTTTTAGAATAGATTTCTTATGATTATTGAAATGGTTGTGTTGTGTCTTTTCTCTTGCCTTGCAGATAATTAAGGATGGGATGCTTTCTATTTTGTTTTTATTTCCCCCTTACTGCTTAGTAGAAAAACTTTGTGAGGGAAAAGAACATTTTCAAAGCAGTGAAAATATATATTAAACACCTTTATCAATTATTGCTACAAAGACTCAAGGTGAGGTGAAATGGGGTTTATCGTCGCGTTCAAGATTATTTCACTTATATCGCGACGTTCATGCACGTGTGCTTACTTGATATTGGTTGTACAGTGCTAGCCCACCAAGACACCATGCCTCAGTGTTAGATTGAGACCCTCATTGGAACCTCGGGAAGAAAAGAGAGTTTCCTTAGCACCCAATTGCTGGTCGTTAAAGGCTACCGAATTGGGCAGCCTGTTTGCCGGGGGCTGGGATTCTGTGTCGGCAGAGGAAGGGAGTCTAGTGGTTGAGGGCGACGGAGCCAGCAATAGTGCTCCTTAGTTCAACATACCACTTGGACCCTAACTTTGCCTAGACGGGCGGTAGAATGGGCCCGATTCTATCTGTGCCCTGTGTATACACTTTTTCGCACAAACTTTTGGTATTAAAAAATAAATGTATTCCAAATGACTATAATTTATTACCCACGTGGTGAAGATACAGGTGATGAGATACTTAATCCGTACACGACACGTGTGTCGTAAAGGTTGACCTTGTTTTATTCGTTTTGAATGGATAACCGTGACCTCTGTCACACCGGAACTACTATTTTCATTCATAAAAAATCGCGAGACGTCATTCTATTTACAACGTCAATGCAGAACTGGAGCAATCTCATGAAAGCGAGAGACATTTACACACACTTTACTAACCCAAACAAGATAGTCACAAGCAGCAACTTCGCTTTGCTATCTGTATTAGTTATACACAGAGCTACTACAGACATATCGTCGAGCTATATCCATTTGCAATGTTCTACTACCGATCGATAGATCGAAGGACTCTATGAGCGTGACGCACCCAACGCCTTTCTCGACTTTCAATTTGATTTAACATAAAAGGATAAGGTGGTGAAATGAAGTCACTTTTAACTATCTTGATACATATCTAGACTTACGTGTGATGCTCTGGTTGGGCCATCAATGACCCCTTCGAAGCGTATTTTGTGACATTGTTTCGTGGGGTGTTTCGATGTTCCGATACAAATGACTTCTGATTTTGTGGCCCAGAACATCCCAAATACGAATAATAACATTCCCTGGCGTAAAACACTGTGAATAGATCATCGTTGTCTTTTCTTATACCGATGGTGACCATGCCCTTCGTTCGATGCTGTCAGTGACATGCAAGCAGATTTGGGTTTGTTGATTTAAGCGTTTTCATTATCGGGTCGTACAGTTTACATGAATGTCTTTGGTGAGCACTCTGATTTCCCTCTTCCAAAATGGTACGGACAGGATATAAATTCAGCTGATAGATCAAAGAAACCGCAATATTTTTATTGCACAGCCGGGAACTCCGTCGGTGCGAGTCATCGACTGTTTGTCCGATATTCAAAGCGCGGCGCTAAATGACTTTTTAGATTTTCTTATAGGTGTCGTGCGTACTAACACCAATGCGCTTATACTACCATAAGTTGAATAAATTCTTAAAATAAGACTTTGAGCGTAAAAGCTGTCATGTTTGCACACACAACAGCAGGAACATGGTGTTAATGCGTATGCATAGAAATGTCAACAATGCGCATATTTGGGCGTATATCAATATTCATGCGCAACCAGATTTGCAACCGATTCCAGTTTGATCCGTCAACAAAAGAAAGTGTTTTAGGTATTTACACTTAAATACATATTTTGACATTGGTTATAAATAAAATACCACACTCATTCTCGTTTTATACCATTTTTACGAAACTCTCTATGGTATGTGACCGAGCGAAAAAGTCCACTCGTTTCGTAAAAATGGTATCTGGCGAGAATGGGTGTATTGTTCTCTATAGATGTATCAATTTTTAAAACTTGCTTTGAGCCCTGTGCCCAGAAGGCGGTGGCTCATGGGCCAATCTGGTGATGCTGACCTCCGAATTCTGTACGTCTCCAGTTGATTGTCATGGGCCGAACCAGCCTGACTATTAATTTGGTAGATAGTTCTATCTTTCCGTGCCAAATTTGCTGGAGTATACCACCTATTTACCCTTGATCTTTGCAGCTTGAAAATCCGCTGCAGCATAAGACTGTCCTTGTTGACACACCATGGTGGGTAGGGAAAAGGGGTGCAGAATTATTTTCCTTTCGACATGGCTTCCAAACTCCCTGGTAGAAAAAAGTAACATATAGAAAATACTACGACTACTCGATCCGACTATTGGCCACGTTTCTTGGTTATAGAAGCTTTAGACAAAGAACCAATCAAATTGAATCCATTTGCTATCTCTAAAGGTATCATTGGTATCTGCGGAGAGGTTATAAATGTCACATGGCTTCGTTCTGGCTCTCTCCATCTAGAATGTGCACGGAGACAACAATCTGTCAATTTTCTCAAATTAAAGATAGTATTGGATAGTATTTTCTACATTATTAACATGAATGCTTTTTTGAAGTAATGATCCGACCCGTGACGGTTCCGGGGTAGAATAGGTCTTCAGCAACCAATGCTTGCCGTAAAAGGCGACTTTGCTTGTCGTAAAAGGCGACTAACGGGATTTGGTGGTCAGGCTCGCTGACTTGGTTGATACATGTCATGGATCCAAATTGCGCGGCTCGATGCTCATGATGTCAATCACTGGATTGTCTGCTCCTGACTCGATTATTTACAGACCGCGGTCATATAGCTGGGATATTGGCGGGAAAAAACAAAAACAAAAAACGGGTAATCCTATCACCAACAATCTTCTATCATTGCCTGGTGATGGCAATAAATAAAAACTGATGTAAAATCAGTGAGAGGATATGAGAAATGTACATGTATTGACGTTCATCATGGTACATGAATTCATTTCACGTTGTATGGTTTGTTTAGGAGGGCGTCACAGAAGAAAGGCTCGACAGAATCCTGCAACAAGTTCCTGATAACATATCAAAAGTGAGTACCTTCCATGTTAGCTGATGATAACTGTGTAAAATTACTAATGAGGTTCAAAATGGTAAAACATCATTCAACAGATGCCTGTTTTTTGGGAACACAGTGATACGGATATCTTAATATATGGGTTTCTCCATTATAAAAGACATGAAGGGAAACAGTTCTCAAACTTCAAATGAAGACTATTGAAATTGTCAATAAACATAGTCATCATATCCTACTTTTGACAGTAAATATAAAATTTGTAAGAGGTCTTCTCTTGAGGTACATGTTCCATTAAAAGGAGGCAGATGGCATCGGCAAAGATGAAAGTGTCTTCTAAACTAATATTATTTGACGTATATAGACATCTCAGTTATATTCATATTTCCGCGAAACGCCATGCGTATTTCTTTCCATTTCTAAGGAAGTTGCCAGAGAAGTCTTGAACATTTGTCAAGAACAAGCCAACAAATCAGTCCGGGAAAATAGCGAAGGTAAGATGATGCCCGCATTGTTTTTGCTATTACAGCTTACTGATATCTGTGTGAGAGGGTCAAATTGTGTAAGCTCACATATGTTGTCACGTGTTTATGCTTTTATCAAGTAGGATGTTTACACTTTCAACGATACGTGTGGGCACTTACACATGAAGACCACGTATATCGCGAAACATCAATAGATATATTTGATAAAAAAAAACTGTAAGAGCCTTTATTATCTCCTGTCTCAAAAGGGGAGGGGGATATAGGAATGGGTGATGGCCGTTCGTTCTCCCGTCCATTACGTTTTGTTTCCGGACAATAGATCAAAGAACTTCCAACATTTCTTACTGAACATGTTGCACAGATATTAGTCCAGCCAAACTGTTTGTTATCGAGTTGCACGACAAACAAATTCCAATATATTTCAGAGAGTAACTCATCAACCATTTGTATTTCCCAACTTATCAGTCAAGTGATCGACTGCTGACTTTTCTTTTTGTCCCCCGCCGCGCGAAAGCGCGGGGCGGGGGACATAGTATTCACGAGCGTCCGTACGTACGTCCGTCCGTACGTCCCACCTGTTTGTTGCCGCGATATCTCAAGAACTAAATACTGGATTGTCTTCATATTTGGAACTATGGTGTATATACAGACTCCGCAGACACCAGTCGGTTTGGGTGACCTTGACTCCATTTTCAAGGTCAAAGCAGGCAAATCTGCTTTTGGAGTTGGAAAACGGTGTTGCCTCGATATCTCAAGAACTAATCGCTGGATTGTCTTCATATTTGGAACTATGGTGTATATACAGACTCCGCAGACACCAGTCGATTTTTGGTGACCTTAACTTAATTTTCAAGGTAACAGCAGGGAAATCTGTTATTCGAGATGGAAAAAAAGTGCTGCTGCGATATCTCAAGAACTAATTTCTGGATTCCTTCATGTTTGATGATATTGGCTTTTGGAGTTGGAAAACGGGTATTGCCTCGATATATCTGCCTTTCTTTTTTTTCTGTGTCATATTGTTATGCAAATATGACAGACATGTCTCTATATGAGCAGCCATGAGCCGATTTGATTTGCAGGAATTTGGGTAATTATTTTTAATGGTACGACAAATAGTTCCATGGAGGTATCTAACAAAGAAAATAATATTATTCAAAGGAATAACATATTCGGAAAAAAACACATATTGCATAAGGCGGCGGGGGACATTTCGTCACTTTGTGACAAATACTTGTTTATGAACGTTTTTATTTTCATTTGAACAAATGGAAAGAAACATGGTTTTTACGATGAAATACACTGTTCCAAGTGATACTCTCATAATAACACCACCCTTCTGATTTGGATAAAGGTACCAGTCAGCTGGCAGCATATTAATCATATTTTGATTATATGGTCATTAGAACAAATACCAGACGCCTCCTATGGTCAGGGGTTGGCGTCTTGCACTCACTGAATCAAAATCCCTGAAGATCCAAGTTAGAACAGATCTTCAGCAACCCATGCTTGTCGTAAGAGGCAACAAACAGGATCTTGCTGGGGAGGCTCGCTGACTTGGTTGATGCATGTCATCGTATCCAAAGTCGGTAGACTCGATTATTTACAGGTCGCCTTCTTTTAGATCTAATATTGCTGAGTGCGACGTTAAACAGGAAACTAACAAACTGGGGGATATGAATAGTCTTTGAACCGCGTTAGAAAGTAGTGAACCATTCTTTCACAAGTCAACGATGCATTTAAGGAAAACGATGTCTCGAGAATTTATTTAATTTCGGACTGATGGGGATAATTATAGCCACATGTTTTTTTTCACAGCGTATGCAGCAGTCTCCTTTGTTACAGGCGACAAAACACAGCAGCACGTAGGTATCTCTAGGAGTTATTTAAGCAATCCCCACTGTGTTAAAACGTTAATAGATGTCATGAAACTGGAAGTGTTTCGTTATTCAGGAAGCTAGAGGCATGGGACTGCATTGAGCAATGTGTTTTCTCAAAAGTTATATTAAACCGAGAGTGCTTATAAGTCTGTTATTAAAAGGCATGAGGAACATGACTGTCGATTTGAAATTGGTAGTTCAAGTCCACACAATCAATTCTAGTGGTTTTAATCCAACAGCAAACAGATCAAAAAGTTTATCTTTGTAGGTTGATGCCATTGCTTCAACGACGGATGCAAGACCAGACAACGGTTCTGCATGGGTAAATATTAACCAGAGACAGATTCTAACATCATAATGTTTATTTCATATATTTCCCGTGATGGTTCGCGGTTAGAATTATTCCTCAGAAACATTCGCGGACAAACTTGGGAGGTGTGGAGATGTACATGAGTATATCCTTACTTTCTTATGGTTAAATAGGATGTTTGTCGTGACCTACAAGTACATAAAATATTCAACAACAGTACATCGTACCCAAATTAAATGCACTGTTATATCCAGGATGGAGAATCAAGTATCTTTGTGACTGATGGAGGCGACCTTTCTTGCCAGCGTGTGTATAATGTCCTGATCGAGGCCCTACCACTCACAGAACAGGTAAGGCCCACCTGGATACAAGACGCATGGCTCTTTCATGAAACAATTACAAGTGTATATTCATATACTTGAGTCAATGCCGCAGATAGATATTTTGTTAATTACAAAAACATGAATAAATAAACATAAACGCAACACTTTAACTTGCTTATTAACTTTGCCAAACAAAGCTGTTTGGATAACTCCCATGAAAGGTACAACGAAGATACAATTAAACTCTCCATATGATAGGAATATCTTTATCATTAAATCATTTAAGTAGATATCAACATTTGCAAAGAAAACCCATAATGAATCTCTAAAAGAAATTATTTTTTTCGTATTGCAAAATGAAAATATATAAACATTTAGCATCACTCTTTTGTTGTAATTTGATACCCGGAAATTGGCGGGAATATTTGTTCCGGTATTTTTGTGAGGAATGCTTCGAATACAATCTCAAATAGATTTTGCTTCTATATTTAGAATGGTGTGTTATGAGACTCAGTGTACAATTGTATTAACGTCCATACTGCCATTCACTTTATAAAGACACGCATTGATTCCTGCACCTGAAATATACAGAGACTACGAAACCTGACTGGCGGTGTTCTGCGCAAGGCTGAACATGATGGGATATCAAGCATCGCCTTTCAGCCCACTGGATATGGCATGGATTCTTTACCAAAGGCCGTGTTGGCTAAAGCCATCCTAGATACGGCCTTGAATTACGCATGTGATTCACTTGACGAAATAGTGGTGTGTGCGGACAAAGGCGAGGTGGATACGGTCAAGGTACGTGAATAGACATGTGCACATCAAAATTTATATTTACAGCTGGTCAAGACGAAAAAAACCTTCTATTCAATTATTTCAGTTTATAATTTAGAATGTTCCTTTTTTGTGTGCATATTAAAAAGTGATGTCACCACGAGTGTTAAATAACAAGATCAAAACTACCAGATGTAAATTTACATTACAGATCAAAAATATAATAATTATTTCAGTATCCATTTACATGTGGAACAGGAAGCCACGAATTGTAAATGTACATATGTGCTATTATGTTTACATATAATCAGGCATTTACAGCTGAGATTGACAAGCGCCCACAACTTGGGAAAGGCAAAGGTAAAGTTGAAGGGGGTGTTCTCACTTTGCCAGCAGCTATTGTTCTAGTTTAAAAATCAGTAGCCTGTGATAATCCCTACAACAATGGGCATTAACACTATAGGCTGTTTCACTTTCACTGACTGACTATAGCCAGACTACAGCCTGTCTAGGTAGACATAACACACAAAAATGTATGTAGTAGTATAGGTTTTTATCAATTATTAATTAAAAAATCCATTTATGTTCAGATGTAAAAAATTTCAAGACAATCTAATACAATATAGCTTGCAAAATTTATGTCTGGCTACAGCAAAATCACTTAGAGTCCGACAAGGTGAGATACAGCATCACCATACTCGATGGGAGATTTAACACTAGCTGCGAGTAGTCTCTTCTCTGTCTAGTTTGTCTTCCAGCTGGCGGTACTTCTTCTTCCTTGGTCTCAGTGTGCCACCGTTATGTTACTGCATGATGGTCACTTCTGTAAAGTTTTGTTCATTCTTGATCATGTTGATGAACTTGTATACGTTCGGGTGGCAGGCAGCGAGCTTCGACATCTTGGAATGCCATTCCTCGACGTGGTTAGTTGTTCTAGGACCGATGGTATCACTTGGGTTGCTGTAGAAGTCTGCTTGTAGGCAAAATCGTTGAGCACCCTTTCAGATAGCCTGTCTGTAATGAAACATACAGCCCTTAATCTGGGAGGGAAACTCAAGTCTGGCGGCATTCTAGGCGGCAGTCTCGAAGTCTGTGAAGATGAATGTGGGCTGCATTAGTTAAGTTTGGCTCACAGTGGGTCACAGCTAAGTCATCAAGTCACTTGACCGTTCACGTTAATCTCCCCTGCCTGCTGGCAAAGTGAGAGTAAACCTGTGTGCAGGTACCTTGCTAACGTGCTTGTGAATGGTATTTGAACACTATTTCTCGGCTCACCCGTTGCAATCTTTTCATTTGATACCGGGGGGCACAGTTGGCCAAGTCGTCTAAGGCGTTGCGATTCGCTGTGCAGAGTTGCGTCCCTTGGGCACCTATGATTGTGGGTTCGAATCCCGGTTCGCCCCGATTATGTTTCTAGGTTTGTCAGCACCATACCCGTGCTCGTGGGTTTCAACGAACTGGTAAATGTCTGAGGCCTTCATCACTTCGGGCTTTCCTCCCAAATTACGCCGACACGCCGCGAAATAACTGTGATACTGTTAAAAGCGGTGTTAAACACAACTCACTCACTCACTCATCTGATATCTCTTACATGCAGTAACAAATGTCCGTAAATCAGTTCCACTGATCTTGCTCTATCAAGACCGTGGCAGTTGTATTATCGATGGATTCAAACTACAATGATTTGTATAATGTTGTTGCTAAGATTAATACAATAACTTTATCTTCACTTGCAAAGCATGTGTCACTTGCTGTACGCACAGAATGTTAAAATAAATGCAAGGCTAACAGTTATCTAGTTCAAAGAGGCAATTGATCATGGAAACTTTACTGAACCGCAAAAGAAACGTCACCCCAAGTAACATTACATGACAAGTTGTGATTTAAATATCTGGGTAATGTTTGTCAAAGTTTCTAAATTTTAACATTACCTTGTCCGAAAAAATGAAATTTGATGAAAAAAACCCAGATGACAATAAAACCGATCGCCCAAACGCATCACGGCAACGGCCATGGTAACCTGATGCACGTGAGTTGAAATGCACATGCGTTCCCCCATTTCTTGCCCTATAAAAATCCGCCCTGATCGGATAACATTCATTCGTTATTGAATTGCTACCATATGCCAAGATTGACAAGAAAACAGCGACACCAAGCAGTTGGACGATTGTAAGCTGGACAAACTGCCCGGCAAGTAGTCAATGCATTTCAAGTCCTCGTAAGGACCATATACAGGCTCCAGCAATGGTACCAGACCACCAACACTACAGATCACCGACCACGTAGTGGAAGATCAAGGGTCACCACCCTTACTGTGTTTAGACGAATAAGGTTTCTCATATAGCTATCCATGGTGACGTTTCTTTTGCAGTTCAGTTTATGTTTGATTCTTTGTTGTATATATACTCAACAACAAAAGTTCCTGTGACACCAATATTTTAGTGTATTTTTCAAACAAGTAAAGTTTGGTTTTCAATATTGTAGTACATGTATGGAAGCAAGTCACAAAAACGCAACTGCTACAGAAAAGCATGCATTCCATTTTATGCAAGCCCCATGCATTTCACTACCCAAGAATGGGTATAAAAACATGTGCGTTTACAGGATTCCATATGCACTGTTAGCATCGTGCTGACAACAACCACTCAGAAAAACAACAAAATTAGGCAATTATTACGAAACGCCACGCCTGTCCGAAAATAAGCGTCTGCAAGCCATTGGTATGCTTGAAGCAGGATCGAGTCAACGTGATGTTGCAAGACAATTAAACGTCCACAGAAACACCTTTTGGTGTTTATGGCCACGTTGGCAATATACGAATGCTGTCAGCGACCATCCTCGGAATGGCAGGCCACGCGTAAGCAATAATCGACGAGACAACTGGATTCGAACAACACACCTACGAAATCGATTCCAGCCAGCAACAGTGACTGCAAGAAACATCCCTGGCCTTCGACGAATATCTTCACAAACCATACGTCGCCGCCTCAGATGTGCAGGGATTATCGCCAGAAGACCCGCCAGACGTCCCATTTTGACAGGAATTTTGACGTCAAGCACGTCTACAGTGGTGCAGACAGCGTCTACGCTGGACTGCCATGCAGTGGGGACTAGTTCTATTCAATGACGGGTCTCGTTTTCACCTCAGCCACAGCGATGGACGGATTCGAGTGTACCGACGTCGAGGTGAACGTTACGTCAATCATTGTGTCATGGAAGAAGATCTGTTCGGGGGCAGCAGCGTTACGGTATGGGGTGGGATTACAGCAAGACAGAGGACCCGTTTGATAGTGGTAGAGGGAAATCTCAATGGACAGCGCTACCGCGACGATATCATCGGCCCTGTTGTTCTACCGTTTTTGCGTCGTCATGGCCCAGGCATTATCTTTCAACATGACAACGCCCGGCCTCATATTGCTCAAACTTGTTCAGGATTCTCTCCAACAAAACAACGTGAATGTCATCCCCTGGCCGGCTCGCTTACCTGATCTCTCACCAATCGAGCACATGTGGGATGAGATGGATCGGCGCCTTCGACGTCAACCACGTGTTCCACAGACACTCAAGGAACTTCAAAACATGCTCCAGCAGATATGGACAGATATCCCACAGGACTTTGTGCGACACGCCTGGTCCATTCCATGAGACGAAGATGTGTTGCTTGCATCGCAACCAGAGGTGGACACACACGCTATTGGTTTGTAAATTGACATTTTGGCATGTTCATGCTTTTTATGAAATCACGCATTTTCTGAAGTCAGTATGGCAAATTAAACCATTTGAACACTTACAGGAGTCTTTTATCTGTTTCAAACCGAAAATGTTTTAGATTTGGTAAAAAACATAACTTTGCATAAAAACTTATTCAATGTCACAGGAACTTTTGTTGTTCAGTATATATTTCCAAATAGACATGCAAAGGTTACCCCTGAAATCGGTTCGTACAGATATATATTCTGAAATCAGTGACCACACAAGATCAATGGGTAATTAACACACAAAAAATTCGAGTCACGCTCATTGTAACTCTTATATAGGTACAGCCAGCCTTCTAGAAAAGGTCCTAACCTGAAACTTCTCGCACGACCAAGCCCGCCATGTTTGTTTACAAAGATTATCACGATTTTACGGGCGTTTTAATCATTTGCTGGGGCGGAAAATCACTACAAAATTACGACAAAATAACTGAAAACAAGCTCCACAGCCACGTAACAATATGTTTATATGTACTTTGCTCATCTTATTCCCTATTTACGTACAGAACTCGGATCTACATTCTCTGTGACTGTTGTCAAAGGAGACATTGTCCACCAGGATGTAAGTAAAATGTTGCAGTTGATATTACTCAGTTTCATATGATAGGTTTATTGGTTTTCCCCGGAAGTAATATGGGTGGATACAGTAATCAGCTTGGCTGCCCTTCCGTCTGAAATAATGTTTTTAACTGTATCATTTTTTCATGAAATTTTACAAACACAAAGGGCAGGTTGGTGCCTTGTGCTATAAGGGGTTCTAAGAATGTTTATTTTGTTACAAGCTTTACCTTGATAGTACACAGTGGTGTGCTTATATAATATAACTAAAAGGCATTCTGTCCTTAAACTTTGCACACACAAAGATATCGTTGCCTTTTGATATTTGGTGAGTTGACCTCGTAACAGCTCTTTCCTTTATACAGTACTGACACTGGTAGTGACCATATGTCTTTTTGATGCTACGTTTTGTGTGGCAAGCCCCTGTTCACCCATCGATCCACACCTCCAGAATGATGATCGGTCTACTAATTACCTGACAATTTTTGTGACAATCACCAGATTCAGAATCAAGAGTAGCAGAATCAATTGTTCCATAATTAGTCTTACAGCACATATTGAAAACATTTGACATGGGAATTAACGTATGGCGTCTTAATCCCACGGGCTAGATTGCCCATTGGATTATTTCCCTTTGATTAATAAGAAATCAATGACAAATTCACAACACATGATTTCAGGTTGATGTGATTGTTAATTCGACTTCCTCGAGCCTCAATTTGGCAAGTGGGCAACTGTCTTCAGCAATATATAACGCTGCTGGAGACAGCATACAAGAAGAGTGCAGGGTCAAGTATCCCACAGGTGTTACGACGGAAGAGATAGCAGAGACTTCAGGAGGTCGTCTACCGAGCGGGAGAATATACCACACTTCTCTAGGATTCTGGTCAGAGCAGGTAATTCACCATTAACCATTAATGTTGTGTTGCTTCAGGTTTTACAAAAAGAACTTTGATCCACTTGACATGCTAGACCAGAAACGAAGTGGTATTTTCTCAATCTTAAAGCAATGACTGAAAACATAATGTGCAACAAATAAAAACACCTGTCTGTGACAGGATAGATTCCTAGACAGTCAGTGTGATATGGACATGAGTGATCTCTCTTCAACAAAAGACTGTGTAAATATCCTCTCAAATGTATGGAATACTGTAAGGGATTACATAGCATTTTCAAGCTCAAGTCATAATTTTGCTAAATGCTACTTGGAGAATGAAGAGCATGAAAGAAGCATGACCAAAGGACTACTAACGTGCGCATACGCCTTGACCTTATGATATTACGCATGTGCACGGACAGCGTCTAAAACGCGAGAACATGAGAACGCGAGATCGCAAGAAAATTAAATGTCACATTCTCGTGATTTTGGGTTTTTGAGGCCTTATTTGACAAGTCGAGATTGCGAGATTTTGCATCATGTCCAAATGTCGCATTCTTGCGTTGTCGACTTTTGACAAAACGTGCTATGTACCAAAAACACGAGAATGCGAGATCGCGAGAACGCGAGATTTTGACCAAATCTCGCGTTCTCGCGATCTCATGTTTTTGGCATATTAGGTCGAGAATGCGAGATCGCGAGAATGTCCCTTACAGTATTCCATACAAATGCAATAATTCAGTTGTATATTTCAACACATAATGATAATAACTGAAATACATGTATAAATATATCTAACTTGCCTATCACGCTTTTATATATTATACGTGAGAGTATGTGTGTATTTGTATGTATTGGCAAAGATAATCACATGTTGGGTCTCAAAAGCACACTAATGCTCTGTCGGTACTGTTGCAACTACAAAAGTAGAGACTGAGTAAGTTAAGACGTAATAGGACACTGTTGTTACTGTTACCACTTCTGACCCGTAAATGAACTTTGTTTTCCAGAATTACAGAGCATTTTTTATAAAATGTCTGACCAAGGCCTCGAGCTCGAAACTGAAGAGCATCGCTTTCCCTTTAATTGGGACAGGGATGTTGGCATACCCATGTGATGAAGTGGCAAAATGTATCTTCAAGAGCTTTGATCAATTCAAAACAGGCAACCCTGACACCTCCCTGTGTGAGGCACGAATTGTTGTGTATCCAGAAGACGAGGCGAATTTAAAGGCATGTGACTCACTATCGTTGTTTGAGGCATGACATTATTTAGATTACGGTGGAATATATGAGAATATATGCACACACACACACACACACACACACACACACACACACACACACACACACGTGCATGCAAGCAGTTATATAAGTGTGCAAAAATGTTAAACGCGACGTTTAACCCCATTTCTCCTCACCTCACCTCACCTCACCTCACCTCACCTCACCTCACCTCAACCCACCCCACCCCACCCCACCCCACCCCACCCCACCCCACCCCACCCCACCCCACCCCACCCCACCTCACATAATATCAAGGAAATCAAAGTTCAAATAAAGTTCCTCATTTTTCACAACTACAAGACTCAGAAAGGTAATACTTTGAAGGAATGATAATGGCTACTTTTCGTCTTTCAATATGTCGTTTCAAAACTGGGCTGTGTTTTGGAAATTCCCAAGGAAGTAACCCAAATATCTATCTCTTTGTTATGTTAGATATTTTCTGTTTGAAAGAATAACACCATGGCTTTCTATAAATGACTGCGGCATTTGTGCCGTTATTATTCATTATAATTTGCTACAGATCTTTGAGGGTGCCACGCCCACAGAAGCAGCTGCAGATGTGCGTCCAGTATATTCCACAACAAGCGAATTAACGTTACAGACAGGTACTTCTACGTGACATATTTTACTGCGTACAAAACATCTAAGAAAGTTTACTACTAGGTACACTGTTAATTAATGTGTGTCACAATATATGCTACCCTACCAGTTTCTGTACTGTCATGTTCTGGCGCAGGTATTGATTGAGTGAGGAGTTGTGTTTTACGCCGCTTTTAACAGTACTCTGCACAGCGAATTGCGGCGCCTTAGACAACTAGGCCACCCGTGCCCCCGCAGGTATTGAGCAGTGATCTATACTGATTTATACATTAACACAAGTCAGTGAAATAGCATATTGTTTCTAGTTTAACCCACAATAGAGCTATTTTCTTATGATACAATATAGTGCTATACAAATGCATATATTATCATTATCATTATTATTATTATTATTATTATCATTATTATTGACTAATAATTGCAACCCTAGTGACGATCCGTGATCCGTGGTATAATTGGTCTTTGGAAACCCATGCTCGTCGTAAAAGGCGACTATGTTTGTCGTAAGAGGCGACTAGCGGGATCGTGTGATCAGACACCTCACGTATTTGATGCATGATATCGTATCACAATTGTGTAGATCGATGCTCATGATGTCAACCACTGAATTGTCTGGTCCAGACTTGATTCTCTTCCGACTTCCTTGATATGTATCTGGAATATTGCGGAGTACGACGTCAAACAAAATCAACAAATACAAAGAAAATTGCACCTAAAATATGTCCCATTTTTGTGTTCACGAATGCAAAATATGAAACAAAACATTTCCCTTGCACACAGGTTTTATGTATCAAAACATAAATAAACAGAGAATCACCGGACAACAATGGATATTTAAGAACTGACTTTAATTTTGTGTGAGTTTATTGGGGTATGAACATTCATAGAGTGAGGTCAAAACTGTATGAACGTCGGAGCTTGCCGGTGGCATAAGCGTTTGCATGTTACTTGCTCTGTTAAGAAAGGTCTGTTAAGAACTATCTCAGTAAGTCAGAATGAAAGCGTGTCGTAATACATGTACATCAAGTACAAGACGTCAAAATGGCCGAAAAGATAAACGTGACGGGAGAGATTTCCGAAGTTGTTAATGAACCTATGGCGGTTACAATTGTTAGCCGTCATTGATCAATTGGCCGTGATTATAAATATGTGTCAAATAGATTGCTGTAGACTCTAGCTGTCAGTCTCGACACGGATCGAGTCGATACTACGATACGTTGGATTCCTTTTGTTCACTAGGATGGGTCATAGTGAGTTTATTCGTGAAAGGTCATGCAATCAGACTCTCTGACGTTTCTCAATGTATGCTCACTAGTAAACACGGGATTTAATCGTTGTTAGATCTGATGAGTTATAGAGATTTTGCTTTCTCTGCTGTAGCTGTGGGCATGGCTGGGCACATCCCGCTGCCTGCACACTGGAGTCCAATGACTGAGGAACAGTTTGTGAGCGAAGTACAGCTTAAACCTGAAGATAAAGAATACAAGTTGGTGGCTAGACAATTCAATACAGGCGTTGACAATGAATACACCATTGTCGAGGTAACGTTTTAGTAACTTATGTCAACTGAGATCATGTGACGCATTGCTGTTAGCACCTTTTCTCTTTTTTATATTTTAATATCACATGCGAACCATGTCTTAAAACTGGACAACATATGATCCTGGGTTCGAATCCCAGTTCTTGCTGATTATTATTATTCTTTGTTTGTTTGTAACTTGCTAAAGTATATACGTCAGAAACCTCCATCACTTTCATCCACTCAAATCTGTAAGATTCGTTCCTTTAGACAGTGGCATAAGGAACCTATTGCCTTAAAGTTTCAACCCCAAATAAGCTTAATTGGAAATGTTATATGTTTTTCCACATTAAAATTGCTCTTGCAATTAACTCAAAAGTAGGTGGTAAAAGGATGGCATTGGGATGTTAGCAATTTGACGCCTCTTTATTGCAGATCAAGAGAATCCAGAACCGCACACTGTATCTCCAGTATGTGATGTTCCTGCACCAGATGGAGACACAGAACCCGGGTATGGATGTTGAGAGACACCTATGGCACGGAACAAAGGGAGATGTTGTGACCAGTATCAATCTTCATGGTTTCAGTCGCAGCTATGTAACAGGTACCATATTAAAACTGAATGCATCAATATGCAGCAATTCAAGTTCAACATAGATATAAAGGACAAGAGACAAACCCGTTTAAAATCATGCAAACATTATATTTTCATAATTTTCACCAGCTGAATGTTTGCCGATGTTCAATTGTTGGCGAGAATTGATATACATGCACACTTTCATAACTTTCATAACCGCGGAAACTGCTAATTATCTAATTCTTATACATTTTGTGAATAAAAAAGTAAACACTAGCAATTGTATGAGTGTCTGAACGCGAATTAAAACTGTAATGAACATCATAGAGAGATTATCCACTGTACCTCATAAAAAGTTAAAGATGTATTCCCCATGTGCCTCACAGCAACGAATTTCTGCATTTATACAATACAATGCTTTAGCGCGAGGTTTCAAATGTATAAATAAGAGGTATCTTCTCTACGTTGGGACTATATCAGATTTCAAAACAAAGTATGTTTATCTCCATTCTACCTGACGGGAAGAGCTCTTTGAAAATGGTGCTCTCTTGCAACGCGTGATTACACAAGTACAAAGGTCCGCTATCTTAGAACATTCAATAAAGGGGTCACAGTTTATTATAAGCTCTAGATTAAACTACTCATGGTGTTGGCTAGTTCATCAAAACACATACCTTTTCAAAACGAAATTAGACAAATAACCCTCCGAATGGAGTCCAAGATATATGTTTTGATTTCATTGCAGCCTATTGCATATTTGCACTTTCTTGGAAATGTATGATGTGATGTAAATATGTCACTCACTATTTGCCTTCCCTTGATATAGAATGGAGACTTGCTTTAAAAATGTCTTGTCCAGTTAAGTGGGCACTGCTTTCGAAATTTCTGCTGAATCAGAACAGGATTTAGTTTAACTTGAACTTCAGGTATATCGATGATCTGATGTCGTTCAATGAAGGAAAAATAACCAATTCCTTTCACTGATTGACCAACCTGAACTAGAAATACAAGAGGACAGTGAAACCGTCTCTCCGTTTCATATTTAGATCTATGCATTAAGATTCAGTTGACAGTATATTGTCCACAAGACGAGAAGAGGGATGTCTTTTAATTTTCATTTTGTCAACCTTCCTTTTATGTTGACAATAACAGCTCCAACCTTGTGTGTCCACATTTCACAACTTTTGAGTACTGTGAGAACTGTTTGAAAAGTTGTTTACTGATTCCTTATTAAGGCGTTCCAAAACACTAATGGAACACGAGCGGAGGATATTTCTAAATGTGACGCATCAATGGTAAAACTGATGTCTTGTGCATGCAATTCCTTATTTTGACTTGTGCCACCTTTGCTCACATTTTTGCGAACACCTGGTATCATCACTATTTGGTAGCGATTAATATTATATACTGAACCAAATTAAAAACTTCACAATCCTAAAATTTTAACATTTTGACCAGTTATCATTGTGGGCCCTTATTGTGTATTTAAACAGTAATGGCCACGTATTGTCTTCAGATAACAACCGTTTTTGTGCAGGTGAATCGATCAAAATCATGTGCACAGCACTATAGTGGCAAAAGTGGTTTTTAACGTGCAACTGGTCACGTGGCCATAATACCGCACGTGTTTTCAGCCATACTTGTTAGCAGTCGTTAACAAAAAAAGAAAAACACAAGAAAACAAAAGTCTTTACGGCCATTTGTCATGCCACGCCTTTAAAATGTGCAACGTGAACGTGCAATCGGCATGTTGCAGACGGGAACGTCCGTAGCTGAAGTCCCAAGGACGATGGGTTGTAGTCGACGGACTGTTTATGATTTACAGACGCGTCTACAGCAAACGGATACCACCGCTGATCGCCCTCGGCCAGGTCGACCACGTGTGACGTCAGATGCAGAGGATCGTCAGATTGTCTTACGTCACCTCCGTAACCGATTTTTGACGGCTACATCAACCCGAAAGAACTGTTTAGGGGTAGACTGAGTGCGCAAACTGTTCGAATCCGTCTGAGAACTGCTCACCTTCAAGCACGACGGCCAATTACACAGACGTCAACGTCAATTGTGGGCACAGCGACACTTACGATGGACTCAGAGGAATTGGAATCAAGTCGTCTTCAGTGATGAATCCCGATTTAATCTTCGATTTTCTGATTGTAGGGCGAGGGTGTGGAGGCGCCGTCATGAACGTTACGCCCAGTGTTGTGTACAGAAAGTTGACAGATTTCGAGGCGGAAGTGTCATGGTGTGGGGTGCTTTCTGTGGCAATGCACGTTCCAGGCTTCTTGACATCCGTGGCAACCTCAACATTGCTGCTTACCGCGACCAGGTACTGGCACCAGAATTTCTGCCTTTTATGGCAGCACATCGACCCGGTTTGATCTTCCAACACGACAATGCCAGACCCCACACAGCAATCTTGACAAGGAATTTCCTTCAGAATGCGGGAGTCAACGTCATGGACTGGCCGTCAAGGTCTCCCGACCTCAATCCCATCGAACACGTCTGAGATGCTCTTGGCAGAAGTCTGCGCACTCTCCAGAACCAACCACAGAATTTGCAAGATCTTTGCACCATTCTGCAGCAACAATGGCGTCGTCTTCCCAATCATGTGTTCACAAGCATCACAAGGTCCATGCGTAGGCGTTGTGTGGCAGTTGTCAACGCACATGGTGGCCATACACGCTACTGAACTTGTGTGCCATCAGATTCTCGCGCTTAGGACGAATGATTTAAACTGTTGATGTTATTACCGAATACCATAGGTGCTTGGAACAAATTATGGTTACCACTGTTAATTAAAATCCTTCTTTGGACATTAATGATTAAAAATTACCTTCTCTGATACATTTGTCCGTTGTATATCATATATGGGATTACTTTTTAAAATGTGAAGTTTTTAATTTGACTCAGTATATATTTACAATATATTCGGATTCGTACAATGGTATCTGCCTTTAGCAGAGATTTCTTATGATTGTGGAAAGATTTTGTCGACTGTATTTTCTAAACATTCAGCTATATTTGGTAACAACAAAATTCCCTTAAAACTCATGAAAAGACACCACCACTTCAATTCCGCTTTAATACAAGTTTATACTATATAGTAGTTTATAAACTGTCATATACATTTTATCACAGTCCATCGCTTTGGAAAGGGAACTTATTTTGCTGTCAACACCAGCTACTCTGCTCGTGACCTGTACTCTCCTCCAAATGAAGATGGTACCAAGCACGTCTATTACGCATCTGTCCTCACTGGACACTTCACTAAAGGAAAAGTAGACATGGTAGCTCCCCCGTCTCGAGGCCTCAAAGACCCAAATGTCCTGTACGACAGTTTGGTTGACAACGTGGATAATCCCAGTATGTTCGTGGTGTTCAACGACGTCCAGGCCTATCCCAAGTACCTCATCACTTTTCGGGAGTGAAGAAGAATAGGGAAACAGTGTGAAGAATTTGACCATCTGTTATTTGAATTTGTGTCTACATACATAACCATTACACTCTAACCAAATGTATTTACTTAGCTGATTATCAATACACTGCAACTGGTTTGCACTTCCGTTTGGAATGTTTTGGTTTTAGAGGTGTTAGTAACTTGACATGCATCATAAAAAGTATTGATAATAAAAACATAGTTATAACCTTAATTCTCACAAACCAATGATAGATATGATCGATTGCCCCAGATTCAACGACACGCAATCAACCATGTCACCTAGCCTGAACACCCGATCCATTTGGCCAGTTCGAACAGCAAGCTCCGGGGATATATTCTCCACTGCAATACGGTGATTCCAGCTGTTAATGTGTATGTCATAGGTACATATATGATTATGCTCTACATATTTGAATATAGTTTATGGGATTATGTTAACATGAACCATGCTTCATTCAGACTGTTTGACAATTAACATCATCATGATTAGTATACAGCATACAGTTGCGAAATTACACACAGATTTTAACAACAATGAAATATCCAGGAAGGCATCTAGTTACTCGTTAACTAACAATTTTCATATTGTCTTGGGTTGACCACAAGGACGATGTTGATTAGCTTATGAATATTTGCTTGAAACAGACGAGGTTTTTTGGATGGGTTTCTTATAACACAGTATCAAATCTGAAATATGATTGATTTATTGCATGTTGTTTTGCACTGATCTGTAAAATAAGTTGTGAACAATAAGTTCCAAATAATTACTTTGTAGGTTTTTTATATGGATAGAAAACTGTGAATATGTTCTTTTACTCTTATCCATTTGGTTTGCTTCACATTGTGATAATTACCGTAATGATTTAATGTCCATATTAACAGATTTTACAGATGTGTAGTTTGTTCTGCTTGTTGTATGGCTATAGTATTGTCGATTGAATATGGAATTTTCACATATTTTTGCACTGATCTGTAAAATAAGTTCTAAATAATTACTTGCTAGGTTTTCAATATGGATAGAAAACCGTGAATATGTTCTTTTACTCTTATCCATTTGGTTTGCTTCACATTGTGATAATTACCGTAATGATTTAATGTCCATATTAACAGATTTTACAGATGTGTAGTTTGTTCTGCTTGTTGTATGGTTATGGTATTGTCGATTGAATATGGAATTTTCACATATTCATGTAGCAATATGACATACTAACTGACCAACTGCGTCTGAAGTTTGACCCACTCAATACTGCTATGAGGAAAGCGTCTTTGAAAGAAGATTAAACCAGATCATCTTCTTATGACGAAAAAGCAAAGGTATATCCCGCTCCTGATAACTTAGATAATGTAAACATATTAGAACAAATGCATATACAACAACCAACAATGTTCAAGATTGTCTGGGCAGCTTTAAAGCATATTACAGAACCTCGATCATGCATTTGGACTTTCAGCTTACCGCTCATATACATGTACCCTTTTAAGAGATTAAAGTATGAGAAAAGTAAACAAAGTATGACTATATTATGTTGTTCTGAAAATCTAGAATTTGTTGTGATAATTTACTTACTGGAACTTTCGGTTCCAGTTTAATATGTAGTAACATTCCAACGCCGGATGTAAAGGACATAGATGTCAAACTTTCTTTTTATTGTGAGGTTTCTTCATAATTTAGGCTGCAAAACGCATGTATATGAGTATGTGCTTATGGTTGGATACAACGATACGTTATTGATAGTATATCGAGAGGTAAATATATACTGGGTTTTGTTTTAGTTTTAGAAGTACATCATTGGAATTATAAAGTTAGATATCTTGTGTTTGTCTTAAAGTCTTGTAGTTTATGGCAAATGTGGTGGAATAAACAATTACTGATATAGTTTGTGTATGTCCAAACACATATGTTTGTTTCAAAGGATATTCATGTTGGCCTAGTTGAGTGTAATATTTAGATATCCTTGTTGACATGCTTATTTTCAACAATCAGCTTGCAATTTTCACCTAGACGATTAAGATGTACCCTAACTTTAGAAGCGGGAATAAATTGAAGTTTTTTTGTTCACTTTAATATGCTCCTGGGCAATTTAAACATAAGAAAACAGTAGTAAACAGCATACGTGTATTGCAATGTCATTACCACAGTAAATTACAGTCATGGTATTAATATCAACAATTCGTCTCTTGTATTGGAGCTATAACTGATAGGCGATCACATCAACAACCTGGTGCATGCATAAAACATGCAAAGCTATCTGATAATGCTCTCTGTTAACATTATCTCTACCCCGAGAACAAATGTGTGTTATCGCGCTGTCCCATTTAGAAAATTCACCGGGGCAACTGGGAAACCAAATCAATGGGAGACCAAAGTTCAGACACTGTTATGAAACATATATGAATTTCGGGGAAGGGGACTACCTGGGACATACTTGAAATACCTGTAACTCTTGAAATGAATGCGACCGACGGTCCGGTCCCTAGCCAGAAATTTGACTCATATGAATGCGACTCCCCCCACCCCCAACACCCAGTGGAATTATTTACATACTGGCAACTCTTGACCCCAGCAGTAGCAATTCACAGAATGACTATAATGTTTGAATGACATTGTTGTATATTTGTTACAAATGCTGCTCAATAAACAGTGATATGGAATACACAGTTTTTGTTTTGTAGTTTGTATTTCTGCAATCCAAAATGTGAAGTAAGGCCGTCTTATTGTTGATAGTCATTTTGAGATATATATGCGATGTTTAATCATTATCAAATTAAACGATGCCCGGTTTGACCAATAATAATTTTCTCGTCCACACTCGTCTGGTGGAGGACAGTTGCTGCAGTGGATCGAAGTGTGTGGTTTGTATGATGATCTCGCAAACCTGCCTCACTCGCTAAGTCAGGAACAATTTTCTGAGGTGTGCTGTGCGACGCCTTGTGTACAGTATCATACTTGCGCTTGTGGTTGATGAAGCGGAGATGAATGTAATTCACCATCTGTTCCTCCAAAGTTTAATGTATAAAAAATCCTAATGGCAAATATTATTTCATTGCAAGAAAGGTCAGCAAGATGACGATAAAATCGCTAATGATCATAAAAGTGGACATCTTTCCGCGGTGGTTGGTGGTTCAATTTTTATACTCACTCGCTCATTCTACAGTTTTGTTTGTTGTTTAACGCCGCATTCAGTAATATTCTAGCTATAGGATGATCGAGTCTGGGCTAGACAATCCAGAAATTGATATCTTGAGCATCGATCCACGCAACTGGGATACGATGACATGCATCAACCAAGTCAGCGAGCCTGACCACCCGATCCCGTTACTCGCCTCTGACGACAAGTATAGTTGCCTTTTGTGGCAAGCATGGGTTGCTGAAGCCCTTTTCTTTCCCGGATGTTCAGAAATCATGTACATTTCCTTTTTAGATCAGGGTACTTCAACATTCTTATAAAGCTCATCGTCGATGTCTCAGACATGAAGTAAGGCTCGTTTAAACGATAACTCAAGAAGCATATGATGTATGTCAAGGAAACCAGATAATGTCATCTTGTCAAAGGAGCCTTTTGTAATAATATTTATGCATTATCGTGATTATAATGTTAATAGGTGTTCGCGAAAGTGTGAGCATTCTTGCCTCACAGATAACACCCTCATAAACACATGCAAAGGCAAATAAAGGATATCTTTTCCTTTTCCTCCCTTGTAATGTTTAAGCCCCACACTGGAATAAATCGACAAAACCCTTTCCATGTCCAATAGAAATACGATTCCGACAATGTCATGAGCATGTGTGTATGAATCAATATCAAATAGTAATGATGACAGGTGTTCGCGAAAAGGTGAGCGCATCCTGCCCCACCGGTGGCATCCGTCACAAACACATGCAAAGGCAAGCCAACTGCTCACCCGAAAAAGCACGGGAACACACGACACAAGCAAAAACAGTCCGGAAACAGCACCCACATGTCTACCACAGATCTTCTTGATAGCTTCACAGAGGCCTTGTATGTTTAACCTTGATCAAACAACCTCTGAACAAAAGTCGCATGACCCTCCCTGAAGTCTTGGTAGAACGGACAAACTCGATTTGCTGTCATATTTTCATGTTCTTTCACTACATCCATGATGTCTGGGCAGTGTGAAAGTGAAATATTTGTTATTATATTTTCTAAGGCTAAACCTCCCAGAAGTGGGTCAACGTGTCAACGCCATCCTGTGTGATCTTTTAGCAATCAGAACACTGAGAGTGTAAATGCTCATTCTGACTTGGAAGGGGGCACAGGTGGCCCAGTCGCTGTGCAGAGTTGCATCTCTTGGGCACGCCAGATTGTGGGTTCGAATCCCGGTTCGCCCAGATTATGCTTCTAGTTTGTCAGCACCATACTCGTGCTCGTGGGATTCATCGAAGTGGTAAACGTCCAAGACCTGCATCACTTCGGGCGTTCCCCCGCATCAAGTTGACACGCCGTGATATAACTGGAATACTGTTAAACGCGGCGTTAAACCCAACTCTCTCACTCTGACTTGGAGACTCGCTTTAGTATCAAAGGGCATGAATGAATGAATGAATGAATGAATGAATGAATGAATGAATGTCTTTATTTCCTCCAGATAAATCCGAAGATTCTCAAAACATCAAGATTATGTAATTAAATAATCAAATAGCACAATAATCAAACATATACACACACATACATACATATCAATGTCCCGCATATTTACAGGCTAGAAACAATGAGAAATATTGGTAAGGTTACCACACGTTGTTTAGGATATGTTTAATTTGATATAAATACTTTGAAAATTCAATAATTGTGAAATGCCACGTTACTTCATCAGTGTCATTGTTGTCTGCACCAAGAAAGAATGCTATCCTCCATCATCTCTATTTTAACATACATTTCAACATCGAGATTATCAATTAGAGTTAAAAAGAATAAAACTCTATCTGAAAGTAGATCAACATTCACAGTTTAAGATGATATGGTGATAAAAATCATGAGCAAAAGTATTACATTTTGTACATTATTTTGATATTTTGCTTCTGGAACCAATCCTTATTACATACTGTATTTCTTCTCTCAATTCTGGATATAACATTACAATGCTGTATAACACATGAGGAGTAAGTGTTGTGTGAATTTTAGAATATCGAGGTCAGCTCTACATCATAGTTTATATTTCCATACTTCTTCCTCGTGGGTAGATATTTCATTTAACACAATCTTTCTCCACTTAGTCTTCGCGGGGAATCCCCTGTTCGAACGTAGTGAAATTACATGATGAAGTAGGTTATATTTCTTGGCTGTTGGAAGCAACACTCCACATAAACTGTGTAAATTATTGTTATGAAAGAAATAGAGTGAAGTTGATGCACAGAAAGCAGTTTTACAAATTGAGACACATGAGTTGTTGCAGAGACGCCCCAGCAGCTGTAGTCTACATTTATCTATATAGCCAACCAAGTCCTAGATTAGCAATAGTGGCATCAGTGGGGCAACGTTTGTCAAAACCTTGTACAATCCTTGCAAAGTAACGCTGGGTGCTTTCAGCTAATTCAAGATCTTTACCATGCAGAGGAGGCAGTAATTCACATCCATAAAAACTTGTTGTTAAAATCATTCTTTTCCAGATCTCAATACTTGCATACTGATGTAAGTCACTACTATTTAGACCAACAGAGAGGAGATAATTAATAGTACGCGGTGCAGCTCTCTTCAATACATAATTTGAAAGAAGGATTACTTTGTAGAACAACACCCGCATATTTTACATTATCAAACATAGGTATGTCATAGTCCCAAAGTGATAAGCATGCGTACACAATAATTGCTTCTTTTTATGAAACACAACAATTTTACTTTTCAATGCGTTATAGGTTAATCGCCATTTGATAGCGTAATTGACAACTGTATCTAAGGCTGTTTGCAGACATTTAGGGCTGTAACTGATAAGAGTAGTATCATCAGCAAGTAACACGCATGGTAAACTAACATTATATATACATAATCCTGTATCTAACTGCCGAAGCTCAGTTATGAGGTCATATATGTACACAAGAAAAAGCCAAGCTGAGATAACTAAGCCCTGACCTATATCTTGTCTAACAGCAAATGCATCAGCTTTTTCCCCCTTATACTGAACACACGCATATATGGAAGTATAACAGTGATGTAACAGAGACCACATTCTACCCCTTATACCAAGATGATAGAGTTTTACAAAGAGACCCGAGTGCCATATTCGATCAAAATCTTATCTAGAAATGCTGTGTAGATACATGATCCCCTGTTTACATAGCTTTGTACACATTGGATGAGGGTAAATTGCGACAGAACAGCACTGTGCTCCTTCCTAAAGCCAAACTGCAACATATCGGGAAAATTACAGGCATTTCGGGATGTCCACGTTTCTAATCTTTCTAGGAGAATCTTCTCAAAAAGCTTACTAATGCAAGATGTTAGCGTAATACCTCTATAATTTACAGGGTTTGATTTATCTTTTTTACCCTTATAAATAGGTATAATTACCCCGTGTCTATAACGATGTGAAACTGCCTGTACATACAATATATCAGGTGTTATATATATATATATATATATATATATATATATATATATATATATATATATATATATATATATATTTGTAGAACACCGTCATATCTCATATCAATGTATCTTCATCAAATTGGAGGAAATAAAGATTATCTATCTATCTTCCTGAACCGATATTTCTGCACATAGTACATTATCAACACATGAGTTAGATTCATTTCTGGAGGCTAATTTCTCAATTGCATAGTCAATACCATCTTTAAAGTCTTGATCGAACTGGTCGGAGTCATATGGTTTTGCTAGATCCGCATAGTACCTACCCCAAAGCCGAAATATGTCAGTGGGGGTTGTTACATTACGGTCATCATATGTAAGTTTTTCAACTCCGATCTTCTGCTTACGTAGTTTTCTCACAGATTTATAAAACGTATTCACATCAGTATCACAAGTTTTTTTCTAATTCCAAACAAAATTTCTTTGAATAGGCCAGTTTTGACTGTCTGTGACGACGTCGGAATTCTCGCTTAGCTTGCTTGTATGATGTATAAGAATGGAAATTATCCCCCTTGGTTTATCCTCGGATAACCATCTCCGCCTTGCAACTGGCATGTTATAACGGTCTTCGTGTAGCCCATCCTGTTTCCAGTAAGGCTTCAGATGAGCCTTGATACTACCTACTGGTATAGACTGTCTACTGGCATCAATCATACATTTACTGATCCCCGTATTAAATGATTCAATATCATCACGTGTATCTATTGATAAACAAGTCTCTCTATTGTTTAGCAATGTATCAAGACAGACCTTGTACAAAGAGATCTCAAAATTTGAAGCTTTGTCCCATTTAACAAAACATGTTTCTTTAACCTTTTGCTTAACGTTATCATTTACATCTACTTGTATGGTAGCTACACATGGGAAATGATCGGATACATCATAACTAGTGAATAGCACTTCACTTGAGCTAACGTTACTCTGCAAATGGGAAGGAATCAGGATATAATCAATCATAGACTTGTTTATGTTATCTTTGCTCCTGAAAGCATATGAGCTAATGGCTTGAATAGTATTCACTAAATAAGGAGTGCTAACAAAGTGAGAC